AAATCCCTTTTACCTGGTTGACGTGATGCTCGAACAACAGAAGCTATTTCAAGAGATGTTTTAAGTTGTAGTCGTAATTTACTTATATGGAAGATGAATCCAGAGAGAAAGGAAATAATAAGAGGGAATTTATGCAGATAAATCATAACTCCCAGAAATACTTTTTTGCATTTATTCAACAATCAATTAATATAGATCCTACTGATGAGTTATTATTAATTACTAAGAGTGTTCTTATAAGTCTTGAACAAACTGACCAATCCCGTCTTTAGTTAAGGTATGCGAGAACTTGCACAACTTTCGCGTAAGTTAAATTTGTAGTTACTGATTTGTCGGTGGCATATTTTCCCACAGCCAGAAAATAACAATACGATATTGCAAAACTATATTAGTTAGAAATATTAAGGACAAGCAACCAGTCTCCAGAAGGCTTCTCTCAGCGAGCTACAGCTGACTAATATGACCCAGACAAACATTTAATTTTGATGATAACGAAGGATACAGTTAAGTATCTACAAACATTAATTAGCAACTGGAAACACAATTCAGGGTATCTTAATTTATTAGAGGTTCATCGGTTGGATTATTTACATGTTTTGATATTCTCACTGTAACTTAAGCTTATTATTATATGAAGAAACGAAGGATTGCGACAATGCATCCACTAGATTACTGTAGTTACCCCATATGATATAGGATTTTTTTTCGATTGTTTAGACTAGTTTGCGATTTAACTGGGCATCTTGTGGAACTGCTGATGCAACATTCCACTTAATACCTACAACCTATCATCAATCATTTGCTCAATGAAAACACGTAGAAACCCTTAACGGCTATCACCTGGACTTCAGGAGATGCTGCACTAGGCTCATTCACCCTCATTGATTACTCGTTTCACATATATCAGTACAGCGAAATATGATAATGCATCGGATTATGTTTGGACGTATTCATATATGGTTTTAAGTAATCAAAACAAAAAATTTCTCGGGAAAGATAATTGAACTCGTCACTAAGTTTTTTTCCGGAATTCACTGAGAAAAATTATATTAAACCGAACTTATTCACTTGAGTAATGCTAACATTTGGGTGTCAAACAGTATACCTAACCACTCGCTATATAGAATAAGGACAGAGACTAGGTGACCACCACCAATTAGAATTCACTTTATATGCAGACTGACAAACCACTCGTTGAAACATATGAAGGAAGAAAAATCAATATTTATAAATGGTTGAGTTTAGCTTGTCATATCTCACGAGGAGGATATTGTCTCAGCAAACAAAATGTTAACACAGAATTGAGTTATCATAGATATAGCCCATTGGGATTATCATGCACCATATACCAATTCAACTGGATTTAAATATACTATTTATTGGTGACTTGTTTCGTAACAATCTTCGGACTTTAAGTAGGGGCAACTAAGTTACAAGCGAACATAACTGCTCGACAGCGATATCAGTTAAATAACAAGATCTAGGACTTAATGCTAACGACAGCTATCACATGCAGTCCTCGTTGCAAGGGACAAAAACCAAGTAAAACATTGCTAAATATATCTACTATGCTTCAATAAAATCAATTAATCATAGTTGCTAATTTCGTTTCAATTCTAATACATATTTTGAGTCGCTGCTTAGTGCTTATGATGTAAACATACACCCATTTGTACCAGCTTAATCACTTGATGTAAAAAAACAATTCTGAGAAACTTATCGAATCTTTGTGAAACTCAGGAGACTCAGAAAAACACGACTAGGTCGGTATGGCAAAAGCTGAGTTCGTCCTTTTAAACAGACTGACGTTAAGCGCTTAAATCGCTACTATATGAATTGCATTTATTAAAGAAGTTTAAGGCATACATGGATGAGTAACGTAGGAACAAGACTAATTGACAATACGAATTCCGAGCCCAAATGAAAATAATCTTGTACTGTAGTACATAACAAAGTTGCTATACGCTCAGACAAAGATAGATCAAGCGCATCTCTGTAAGCATTCGCAGTGAGATTGGGAAATATTAAACTTGACAACCACGTTGCTTTAAACTACCCACTAAATGATTATAGCAAAGCAACCCTTTGGAATTCGAGAGGATCTACTCGAATCTTATCATCCTGACTAGCTCAAGACTAGTCACACCACGACTACGTATCCATTGTCTGCAGATTAAATCATCATAGTAATAGTTGGAAAGACTGTCCATAGTATCTGAAGTATTGGTTGATATATGATTAACACAGTGATAGGAAAACTCTATATTTAGTATAACTGGATCGACTTAACATACAAAAAGACAATAACCACAAAGAAAAAGTATTATGCATGTGTCCAGCAATAAATTAGGCTAACTGAAAATAGAATGTGCATTCAAATGTCGCAGATAAAACATTTGACACGAACAGATTACAGGTTTGCAGTTTTATATCACTTACAAAAAGATGAAAATCAAAATGTACTAACCACGTCCAATATATGAGGAAAACTGATTTCGGCTGGACGTACATGATTTGGAATGGACTGATTGGTTAAGTAAAAGGATAAATGAATATCACCACTGAGTGTATTTCTCAGCGAGGTCAATTGATTAGTTTCACAGACGACATAAAATTAATGTTATATTGATAAGTATGTCAAAAGAATAGATGTTTTTGACATAGTTGATTAGTATGAGACAGCAGGGTAAGTAGGGTAGTTGAGGTAAGAGATTTCACTTTGTGGACAAAATAAGAGCGACAATTAATCCGTAAAGACCAAGGACTTCTGCGAAAATTAGGATTAGCACCATTCCTACGAATAACCTAGACTGTTGAGCTGTGCCACGTACACCAGCATCACCAACTATCCCAATGGCAAAACCTGCACCAAGACCACTAAGTCCTACACTCAGGCCAGCACCGAGCTGATTAAGAGACCTGAGTTCTGATATGAATTTCTGTTATGTTAACTTACACGTCAAGTTTCTTCAAATCCTGACCACGTTGAACTATAAGAACCGCTACGACGAGACCATAAATTGCTATTATACCAGCCATAACAACCGGAATAATTGACTTTATGATTAATTCAGGTCTCATCACTCCCATTGAGCAGATGCCTGCTCCGGACTTGGCAGTCCCATAAGCAGCGCCCAAGCCTAGCATAAAAAGAAAGGAATTTCAAACTTACAACAAAATACCACTGCAGAAACTGCGCCAATCACACCGAAAAAAGGAGAATATATCGGATCAGTCGAATCCATTGCACAACAGCCAAAAGTCAACAACACCTGCAATAATGGAAGCACTGCATAGTAAAACAACTCCCGGACAATAATGAATCTTTAATCGAATGAAGAACAGAATAGAGATTGTTTGAGTTATCATCATTCTTCCAACCTATACTGAGACTTTGTTTTCTATTTAAGTCAGTTCAGCAAATGACGTTCACAATTCCTTCCTTACTTACTTACGCCCGTTACTCCTCGTGAAGGAGCATAAGCCGCTCACCAGCATTCGCCATCCAACCCTGTCCTGGGCAATCCTTCCCACTTGTTATTCATCTCTTTCATGTCTACTTCCATTTCCTGACGTAATGTGTATTTTGGCCCACCCGTTTTCCGCTTTCCTTAAGGATTCCGAGTTAGGGATTGCCTCGTGATGCAGTTTGGTGATTTGCGTAATGTATGTCCTATCCATTTCCATAGTCTTTTCCTGATTTCCTCTTCAGCTGGAAGGTGGCTCGTTCTCTCCCACAGAAGGCTGTTGCTGATGGTATCCGGCCAATGGATGTTGAGTATCATGCATAGACAACCATTTATAAATACTTGTACCTTCTTGATGGTGGTTGTTGTAGTTCTGCAAGTTTCAGCTGCCTACAGTTGAACTGACTGTCTTGACGTTCCTATTGAAGATTCTGACTTTGATATTGCTTCACAGACAGTTGTTTTGAGTTCCATATGTTCTTCAATTGTAGGAATGCGACCCTTGCTTTGCCGATCCTCGCGTTTACATCTGCATCGGATCCTCCTTGTTCATCGACGATGCTTCCCAGGTATTGAAGGATTCCACATCTTCCAGAGTTTCGCCATCAAGAGTGATTGGATTGCTGTTTTCCGCTTTGAATTTGAGGACCTTGGTTTTCCCTTTGTGTATGCTGAGGCCTACTGATTCAGAGACTGCTGCTACACTGGCTGTCTTCATCTGCATCTGTTCATGTGTACGTGATAGGAGGGCTAGGTCATCTGCGAAGTCCAAATCGTCTAATTGATTCTGAGCTGTTGTGGTGTTTGAATTAACTAATGATTCTTTTGTACTGGTTGAATGCTCGATTTCGAATTCTAAATACAGTACATTCGTTGTGCCTGTGTCTTCTTAATTCAATTGCGTTAATCCTGGAATTCCTAATTCATACTATAATTAGAATATTATATTGGCGTCGTGATGGAACCTGCGATGGAAAAGTTGGATATTCATTCAACTCCTGAAGCTTTTGAGGATTATTTGGAAAGGTTCGAAATTTGGAGCATGACCAAAGAAGATGATGAGGATGTCAATATTGTAGCACACTTCCTCACATTCATTGGGAGAGAAGCGTACAGCTTATTAAAAACTTTAGCATATCCAGAAAAACCTATTTCACTCCCTTATGCAACTCTTAAAGAGCTATTATTAAGTCATGTAAAATGCACCAGTTTTGAATGCCGTGAAAGGGCGAAGTTTCATAAGATGATTCGTCAAAATGACCAAAAGGTTCGGGAATTCATCCTTGAATTACAGAAACAAGCTGCCAAGTGTGATTTCGGTGATCAACTTCATGTACAACTGAGAGATCGATTAATTGCAGGAATTAACATACCGAGTTTGGAAAGAGAGCTGTTAAAAATTCCAAACTGTTCCTTTCAAGATGCTAGGACTGCGTGTATTAACTACGAAGCAGTCAATGAACTTGATATCCAGTCGATGAAGATTTCTGATACTTTGCTTAGTCGTCATGATGAACTACAATCTCAAGGTCAATCAAATTTGCGTTCATTTAACAGTGATTCCTATTTTCGTGTAAATATGAAAGGTGTTTCAACGACGAATTACAAAGCAAATCACAAAGGTGAGATGAAGTTTGGTAAATGTTTATCATGTGGAAAGTTTCATGCTCGCAATCCATGTGTATTTCGTAATGCTGAATGTTTTAAATGTGGTAAGGTAGGACACATTCAGTCAGTATGCAATGTTACTGTCCATTTTGCTTCAAGCTGTACTAAATCTTGTGATTTAAATTTAAATAATTCGGATGTTTCTAATGATCATTTATCTTTATCAACGATTTCAAAAGACAGTGCAGAGTCATATGGCAGTTCAGAGTTAAATGAAATCCAGAATTCTTGTGAGACAACAGTTCCTAATCAACCGATTTATCAGAATTCTCATGCTATTGTACCAAGTATGACTTTTCCTAATGATTCACATATTTCTAATGAAATTACTTGCAATTCTGAGGAAAATATGTTAAATGAACCTAATCATGATCGAAAACCTTATGTGGTTTGGGTAGATGCTGATTTTTCTAACGATCCTACGCTCTGCAATGACAGTCCTAATGAATTTCATGTGAATATTTCAGAAGAATCAAATCCTGATGTCATATTATATATTACCTATCCTCATAATGCATTTGATCCTTGTGAAAAACCTGCTCAATGCGAAGCACGAGTACAAAGTGACCTCGAGTTTTATTACATTTCGCATGATTTCATATCAACTGTTGTTTATCCTTATCACAAAAACAGTTCTAATGTTTACTCTGAACAATGTGAGAAATATGTTTTAAATGAAGCCACATTATTCATAACTTGGGGATATAAAGATCCAACATTATTTCGTGGGGGAGGATAGTGTTGAAAAATCTATGGTTCGAATTCTAGATATTAATGATTTCATTACAAAACCGACGTGCTGATTGTATACAATTCCAGGTGAGTCTGTTCCGATTCCGTTTGTTAATTCCAATACTAATGAGCACTTTCTAGATACTACAAAGTTTTTATCTTATACAATGTCGGACAGACTCAGGATGAACTTAACAAGAAGACGTACAACCGATTACAAACACTCATACTTCTATTTAAGCTGTGGCGGATGTGGTGTTTGAATTAACTAATGATTCTTTTGTACTGGTTGAATGCTCGATTTCGAATTCTAAATACAGTACATTCGTTGTGCCTGTGTCTTCTTAATTCAATTGCGTTAATCCTGGAATTCCTAATTCATACTATAATTAGAATACTATAGCTGTCCATTGCATTCCGTGTTTTCCTTCAGATGTCGAAGTCTTCATAATCCATTCGACCACCAGAAGAAAGAGGAAGTGGGGGAGTAGGCAGCCTTGTCTGACACCGGTCCTTACTTGGAATGCATCTGTCAGCTGTCCTCCATGCACGACCTTGCACTGTAGTCCGTCGTATGAGTTCCGGATAATATTGACAATCTTTTCAGGAACTCCGTAGTGTCCATGAAGTTTCTAAAATGTTCTCCTTTCTACACTGTCAACTACCTTTTTCATAATCAATGAAGTTGATGTACAGTGACGAGTTCCACTCAACTGATTGTTCGACGATGATCCGTAGTATCGCAATCTAGTCTGTGCACGACCGATCCTTACGGAATCCAGCTTGTTGATCTCGAAGTTGAGCGTCTACTGAGTCTTTCATTCGGTTCAGCAACACTCGGTTAAAGAGTTGGAACCTGTTTTTGAGATTTATCTTGAATTCATTGAGTTTGTCAGTATCTCGAAGGAGGGCTGTATTGAACCCTTGTAGTGCTGTTTGTCCAGTTGTCCAGTTCTTCTTTAGCTTCAGTTTTAAATTGGCCACAACCAGGTGGTGATCTGAAGCTTTGTCAGATCCTCCCCATGGTTCTCACATCTTCCATTGTCCTTCGAAACTTTTTATTGATGCAAATATGATCTATTTGGTTCTCTGTAGTGTGGTCCGGTGAGATCCATGTAGCCTTGTTTATACGTTTGTGTGGAAATATTGTGCCTCCTATGACCAATTTGTTGAATGCACACAAATTCGCTAATCTTTCTCCATTTTCGTTTCTCTCTCCCAGCCCATGTCGTCCAATTATATCTTCATATCCGGTGTTGTCTATCCCGACTTTAGCGTTTAGATCTCCCGTCAGAATGGTGAGTTCCCTTTTTGAGCATTTCTCTATGACTGACTGCAGCCGCTCGTAGAATTGACCTTTAATGTCGTCGTTGCCATAACACTGGATAATATTCATTGTGATCCCCTCCTTCTTTGTTTTGAATGGTGCTTTGATGATTCTGGATCCGTGAGATTCTCATCCTACAAGTGCATTTCGTGCTACTTTGGACAGCATTAGAGCAACTCCCTGAGTGTGTGGAGCATTTTCCTCTTCGTGATCGAAGTATAGCAGCACCCGATGGGTTTCGCTGATTCCCAGTACTTCCAAGTTGTTTTTCCTCATTTCCGTTGCTATTTGACTGGTCTTCCCGGTTTCCCACATTGTCCGTACGTTCCATGTACCTATAAAAATTGTTGCTCTGGTTGTCAGAAGGGGCATTGGCCTCGTGACTTCCGAAGGGACTCGGCTTTCACTATGAGACGTCATGTTTCTTCTAAATGAATACCTTCTGATTCCCAGGGCAGAGTTTAGATGGTTTGAATTATTTTTCTGGTTATTGTTTTTTGGCGAGTTAGTTTTCTGCGAGATCGAGTTGCTAACCCCATGTACAGCCCTCCTCCGTTACTCGAGCTTGGGACCAGCAGCAACTCTAGAAGAGCTACAGGCTTCACAATCCCGATTACTTAATATGTTTTAACATTGTGAACACTGTAACGGAAATAAATTCCAAAAATAAATCGTCTTGTGAGTTTTCGATATTGATACTGACCTGATTAGTTTTGCTGGACACACCTAGATGAGGGCTTTCAATCACGCATACACATCAGATCACGAGTGGGTACGCCGTGCTATGCAAGTACTGACCAGCTTATGTCATACGTTTTTCGACATATTGACAACCTTCTAAATATGTTTTCGAACTCACTCGGTCCCGACTTCTGATCTGGCTGGGTATATAACCGTCAATTATAAACGTGTTACAGACAAACGCGTTGTCAAACCCTGAATATCTGTGACATCTATAATGGTGAACCCAAAATGGTCTGGTACACCAGATGACAGACATTGAGTTTGTTCTTGACTAGAACATTGTGCATCATTCTTTATTTTTACATACCGTGATATTTTTTCATCTTCAGATATTTTTGTCCATTTATATATTTCATCCTCATTATGACAGAAAAAACACTCAGACTGTTGAAATTTAAGACTCTTACGCTTTCGACGTTTCAACTTGTGCTATTCTTGCTTGATAACATCGAAGCAACATTCCATTGTGCATATGCTGGCTTCCACTAGTACGGTGTGACGGGCTCACGTGCACAATTTCTTGCAGCAGTGAGGGCGCTGCTGCGCGATTTTAAAGGGTACATTACACATAGTATATTTACTAGTGGTGTTTCCGAACCTTATAACATCTATCCCCAAACGGGGAGATCCAACAAATCGACAGTGTTTGACAAACTCTTCCACAATATACAATTGCAACATGGCCCAGCAACAGATATGTTGCTACTTATGCAGGCGGTTATTAGTCAATGGACCTTCGATGGAGGCCTCTCTGAACAAATTTTGTTATCTGAGCTTCCTGAACAGGTGCGAGCCATCTTCATCGCATTTCAAAACAGTACCGTGGACTAGCTGGCTACATCAACCAATCGGATTCTAGAGATCATTAGAACACCCAGAACCGAAGTTTTTTCTGTCAGAGAAAAGCCTCAACGGACACAAAGTGAAATTACATGTCTCTGCATCACTCTTACTCGTAATCTTAATATTCGCCATAATCACATACGCTTAGGAACTCCTTAAAGAAGCCAGTCAAGAAAAAGACTTGTCTGTAGACCACGAGAACCAGGTAACCGTGATAGGTGTTATCACACTGATTAAGGTAAGTCCTATAGAAATTGCAAGAGACCATGCCGTTTACCAGACTCAAGACATGCTGTCACAACAGACCTTCCGGTTAACTCCTCCGCTGTCACGCGTTAACACCAACAGTAGCCGGTCGAAATAGCTGTGTTATACATCACTCAAGTGATGACGAAAGTTCACTATCACACTAACAGCTCAGAAGTCAGTGTTCTTCATGAGAGTAAGAACGACTATCTACAAAGATTCAGCCTTTAATTTACAGACGGCAAATTCAAAATAAATCGCTATACTCGGTATAAGGTATGTTTATTTTGGTTTTACTCAAACCCATCCACTGGATTTTCGTTTTCACTGATGCCAACTATTTGTATAGGTCCGCTGTAACACCGAAATTTACTCATCGACCCAAGCAAACGAATGTTAGTAGATCGAAACACTTATTTATCCGTCTGTGGAATTTTTTGTTCTGGTTGTAGGTCATGATCTGCCACGGTTCAGCATATAATCAACCCATATTCTAAACAGACACCAGATATGCACCCTGGACTTTACATAACACGACCGATTGTATATGAAAACCATTCATGATCGTCATCTCATTCCACACATCCACCTGACAGATACATAAAAAGATACAATTTCGCCCTCGTAAATCGATCTAGTTACGACGCACGTGCAAATACCCAAGGCTGCTGATGACATTCCTAAAATGGCTATCTTCACTCTCTTTTAGACTCTACAAATATTTGCTCATGCCTTTCGATTTAATACATGTTGTACAAACTTTTCAAACATTCATCGACGGCTAATTCAAAAGGTCTGAACATCATGCAAGCATATGTTGATTACTGCGTGTTCACTTGTCGGGATAGGAAATCTTATTTCCAGTATCTAGACCTTACTTTTGAACGACTGCAAAAACACGGCATTGCAGTAAACACTCAGAAGTGTCAGGTCAGGACCTATTCCATGGACTTCCTCGGGCATACTACTGACGTTCAAGGTAATCGCCCTATGCGAAGCAAAGTGGTGGGACTATCCAGGACCGAACACAGTTAAGCTACTGCACACGTTCAACGATTCAGTAATATTTTTTGTCGTCAGTTCATACCTAATCGCACGTCTCTCGTGAAACCTCCAACAGATAAACTTCTTGGAAATGTTAAACTTATCAATTTGGAGAACAACGAGGACAAAACATCCCCCACATTTGATGAAATAATCATAAAAGCAACTTTGATTGCACATCAGGAAATCAAAGAACCCATTACGATTGCCGTAGATGTGTAGAACTATGGTCTACTATGATATTAGTACTGCTCTAATAATAGACCTAATCCTAAAATTGTAGATTTGTCATGATATAACTGCCTAATCCATAAGATCTTACGTGGAAGTCACGCCATCGTCTACACCAACTCACTGTATCGTAACAACTAACAATACATGATGAAGAGCAAGGTTAGGCTAGAGAAAGAACAATATATTTAATTTGAATAAAAGATATAAGGTAATATTCAGCAGGGACCACGCCCGCATGGCCGAGCCATGCCATTCGATCAACTCCAATTTATTCAAAACATTCCTCCTGCCTTTTCCATCGTTAGGTATTTCTCAGCGTTAAATAGTGAATATCTATTTCCCGAGTTGTCTCGTGTCCAGCTTTGAGGATTGTGTGGTTATGGTGTAATGCCACTACAGATGTATTCGACTAGGCAATCAAAGGAGCTTTGCAACAATGGATAAA